GCTTCCTTCTGCCTGTTACATACTTTCCGACGAATCTAGTATACCCTTTTACTCTACGAGTAACGGGTATAAAAAGGACAAAACAAAACATTTCTTCACAAACCCAAAAATTATTTTCGATTATTTTTGCTTCTGTAGGTAGCTCAATATATGCCAAAACCAATGAGAGGTAAGAAATTCAAAAAATATACCTGCGATGCTTCTAATTGACCTCGCATATGCCATATATTCCCATACAAATGCAGGTAAATACGTAGGGGTCCAGCCAGACCCGGGTGTACAACCGAAGGTGTAACTTTTTAAATCCATTTTTTCGTCATGTTCTAGGATCCTTTTTAAATCCTCATATGCATAAATCGATAGAGAATTAAATTTTAGGAAGCTGCCTGGAAGGCCAAGTCGCTACCTATAATAGAAATGTGTTAAATTTACGTTCAAAGTCAAATAAGGTCTGGCCAGACCCGGGTGTACAACGGAGGCTTAAATAGGACCTAAATATTGTTACGAACTGCTTTCTGTGGTGGCAGTGCCGCTAGCTCAGTCGTTCCTCAGGGCAGAGTACCCCTAATGCCACAGCTCGCAACATAAATATCGATACTTCACGGTCTCACATTACTAAACTATCGGTCATCACTAATGACAAAAAAAACGTAAACAAAGCAAAATCCTACAAATATTGACGGAAAAATGGATTACATTTGCTGGCTATCGGTGACCTAGCCAAGCGCTCCCACCCAACCATGGATGCCCTCAAGATGCTGCAGGGCACCACCCATTCGTAGTCGGCAGGAGCCCCCTCCTCGCGACTACGGCGGTTCCATCTCCCCCACTGGGAAAGTTTACTCACACATAATGGGTATTACAAAGGTTTAATAAATATCGTAAGTACAATCGTTTATATACATGCTCCTCTTAACAGATTTATCCTTCCTCAGCCTTTAAGACCGAAACCTGGCCGCCGTCTCGGGTATTTACGCGGTCAAAGCAGAGGATTCGTTTTGCTGGAAAAGGGTACAGGCGCCGTGGAAACTATGCTCTACCAGCCATGTATTGGTAGAGCTCGCATGGAAACGCGGCCCTCAAAGGAACATGCGCGATGCGCGTGTGTATGGTCACCTAATCCTGAGGAGCTCCAAGGAAAAAGAAGGGACAGGCCAAAAAGGTACGTAACTGCACTGTAAGCTATACCATTTAACTAATGCTCGCGACCTTTTTAATTTTAGGCAAACAACGAGGACAAATAAGGCTCTCGGGTCTAACTCCGGATAAGCTCACAAACAGGTAAGTAGATATAAATATATATAATCGAGGTACACGTGTATTCAATTTCTGCTAAGTTTCAGCCACTGTTGGGCCGGGCCTGGAGGCGATGATTGCCCGGGCTGATGACTTTCCGCCGGAGGCCAGCGGCGATACGGATCTCCGCACGGGAAAACGGCGCTCTCCGGTGAGTGGTGCACGGGCAGTCCGAGATTCGGCTGCCAGACAAAATGGCGATACTTCTCAGCGCCGCAATGCGACCGCTGGAAGTTCGCGAGAGGATGAGGACGCGGTACGCCGGAACGGACTCACCGGGAAATGTTGACGTCGTTGGCGTCGATTGTGGAAGGCTTTCCTGGCTGGTCGCTGGCACGGGTCGAACGGACACCGGTTGCTGGGCAGCCAAGTCGGGCTGGTAGGTATGGCGATGTCGGTAAAACTCCAAATAAATTCTTCCGGGGCCCTTTGTATTGGGACCCCGGCTGCCTTTATAAATGATAAATATTAAATACCGAACTACTCTAGAACTTTCAATTAACTCACTATTTAATTTAAGGCACAAAGAAAATTTATACTAGAACTCCTAGCTGCATCTGCCTTGATTGCTGGACAGTATGGCCGCGACTATCACGATATCTGCTGATCATCGCCCCCCGCCATATTACATGGCCTCTCTCGACATTGGGTCATTGGATACATGGGCCATTTGAAGTAATCCCAGAGCGAACCGGGATTAATCTTCAAATGGCCAGATCGCCCGCCAGACTCATCCCGCTGCTGCAGCTATCGCACTATCGACCTAAACTATCGATAACGTCGCTCCCACTCGACTCCAATTGCAACATCAACCAAAGATTTCGAGGGGCGCTGCCCGGAGTTTCAGCAGAACGATGAAATAATTGGTAGCTTTGGAGATACGATGGGATTCAACACGGCACTGATACCATCCTGCAGTTCGATCGGCGCCTAACGCGGGGCCCACGCATGACGGGAAGTATTGCAGATGTGATCGCGATGCTAGTATACTTTGTTTTGTCCTTCTTTCAGGTCACAACCGGATGTCTTTGGCGTGATACACTCCCAGACTGCGGCCTTGGAGATCCTCCAGCAGGTAGACATGGCTGCCGACGGATTTGACCACCCTGGCTTTAAGGAACTTGCGAGCAAACTTGGCGTTAAAAGATTTGCTGAAATCACTCAGCACGAAGTTGCGGCGGAAGACTTCTTGGCCTGGCTTGGCGAGCAGCGTACGGGCTCGCTTATCGTAGCGATGCCGGCTCGTCTGGTATGCACCCTCCAGTTGCTTCTGCACCTTGGCATGGATAACCCGAAGCTTGTCCTTGGTCTGCATTCCGGCCATTTTATGGTCGACCAGAGACCTGAGTCGTCTGGCTAGTTTGTAGCTGGAACCGTTGAGGAACATGTGATGGCCTAATACAGTGAAGAACGGCGCTTCCCCTGTGGCTGAGTGGACAGTGTTTCGGATGGCCACCTCAATCTCCGGCAAATGTGCATCCCATTCCCGGTGATCTTCGTACAAGAAGCTGCGAATTGCGGCCAAGACATTTCGGTTTACCCTCTCCGCGGCATTGCTTTGTGGTGAGTATACGGGAGTCCTCATGTGCTGTACACCGAAGCCATCGATCATCTCCTCAAACGCCTTGGATACGAATTGTTTGCCGTTGTCCGAATGTATCGTCTCAGGCACCCCGAACTTGTAAAATACCTCGTTTACCAGGAAATTTACAACGTTCGACGCCGTCGCCTCCTTCATCGCCTTTAAGAAGGTGTACTTCGAGAAGTGGTCCACCACGATAAATATCCAGGCGTGTCCACTCTTGGACCTCGGATACTTGCCCAGGAAGTCGATGTACAGTTTCTGGAATGGCCTCTCCGTCTCTACCCTTCTTCCGATTCCAACCTGCATCCGGAAGTTTGGCGCCTTGGATTCCTTGCACACCTCGCAACTCCGGACGTATTCCCGTATCTGGATGGTCATCCCTGGCCAATAGAACTGGCGTCGCAGGATCTCCTAGGTCTTCGTCATCCCACCATGGCCAGCCTTGGGGTCCGAATGAGCACGCTCTACCAAGCTGTGCGTCAGGCTTTGCGGGATCCACAGCTTCCATTCGGATCCCTCCAGTTTCGGATTCTTCATGCGCTTGAAGATTAGTCCGCCGTCCACTTTGAGGTCCGGTAAGTGCTCCCTGTTGGACTCCACGTCTTGCACTAACTCCGTATAATCCTCCGCAGCAAATTCGGTCGTCTCGAATCCCAGTAACTCCGTAGGACCTATCCGGACTTCCTCTATGATGCGGACAGAGTGCGCCTTTACGATGTTCAATGCTGAAATCGTAGCCCTGCAGCTGGAGAGACCACCTTGCGAGTCGTCCGGACAGATCCTTCATGGTCATCAACCACTTAAGGCTGGCGTGATCGGTAATGCATGTGAAGGGCATCCCTTCCACATACGGTCTGAACTTCCGAATAGCTAGGATGGCCGCCAGTCATTCCTTTTCCGTGACCGAGTAGTTAACCTGGTGTTTGTTCATCTTGGCCGAGAAGAACGCTATGGGCTGCTCGTCTCCGTCCTGGTTCCGCTGAAACAATACCGCGCCGACGCCAACGTGGGATGCGTCGCACTGGATGAAGAAATGCTTCTTGAAATCCGCATGAACCAGGACCGGAGAGCTCGTCAAGGCCAACTTCAGGTCATCCACTGCCTGGGTGTCGCTGGGACTTAGGGAAAACTTTGTGTTTCCAGCCTTCTTCAAGGACTCGGAGAGTGGTGCGGCTAGCGTAGCGAAGTTCTTGACGAACCGTCAATACCATCCCGCTGTGCCGAGGAAGGCACGTACTTCCTTCATGGATTTCGGGTAAGGCATCTTCTGGATTGCCGAAACACGTCCAGGATCCATCCGCAGCAGTCCACTTCCGACTATAAACCCTAAGTAAGTCAAAGACTTGAAGCAAAACTTCGACTTCTTTAACCCTATGGTCAATCCGGCTGATTTCAGACTGTGGGCTACTCGACGCAAGTATTTTAGGTGCGTCTGAAAATCTGGAGCTAGGATTAGCAGGTCTTCCAAGTAGACGAAGACGTTGGATCTGAGCTCCGCTGGTATCACCCGATCCATGAGCCGTACCAAGCGTTGTGCCGCGTTGCACAGCCCGAACGGCATCATTCGGAATTGGTACAACGGCCTGCCTGGAACCGTGAACGCAGTGTACTCCTTGCTTTTCTCATCCAGTTCGATCTGCCAAAATGCAAGCTTCAGGTCAACGCTGGAGATGTTATGCGTCTGATCTATTCTGGAGAGGATTCCTTCTATACTGGGCAGAGGGTATGCATCCTTGATAGTCAAGGCGTTCAACTTCCGGGCATCCAGGCAGAACCGGTCTTTCCCTGGCTTCGACACCACTGTTGTGCGATTGCTCCACGGGCTTTTGCTCTCCTCGATGACACCCAGCTCCAACATCTTGTCGATTTCGTCTTCGACCACCTTCTGCTTCGCCGGAGACATCGGATACGGACGATCCTTAAAGACCCGAGCTCCTTCCAACAGCTCAATGGAATGCCTCTCCATGCTGGTGACTCCGAGGCCGTCCCTTTCAAAGGTAAGGAACTCCTCCTTGACCTTGCCTAACGCCAGCTTTTCCTTCGCAGAAAGGCTCCAGGATTCGGGTTCCTCCCTTACCTCGTCCTCATCTTCCTGGTCGGCATAGTGCTCCATCTGGCTGGCATGGATTTCCTCCGCTGCCTTGACGCCTCTCGTCGCCGGCTTCCCCACGACGGCTGGAGCTAGTCCGAAGGCTCGCCAGAAGTCGACTCCGAAGTACGCCGTTTGTTCCAGGTATGGGCACAGGTAGAACGTGACCGGCTTACTTACGCCTTTGTACTTCACAGGCAGCTCCAAGCGTCCGATAATGGATCGATCTTCGCCAGAAGCCGTACGGACTACCGAAAAATACGGTTGGACGGTAACTCCCAGCGCTTTCACGAGCTCTCGACAGCCTTTGCCCAGCACACTTACGCTGGCGCCTGTATCCAACAAGCCGGTGAGCTGCTTGCCCAAGGTCTCCACGTCGGCGAAGGGTCTAGGATCGGCGGCATCTATGCGTTTAACGGCCGCCACCACCTCTCGTCGTCTGGATCTCCGCATCGTGAAGCGCTCCCTTGCCTTCTGGACTCTCCGTGAGACTAGACGCATGCCGCTCAGCTGACGCTCCGCAAAAATCCTGTTCCGTGCCTCCATACAACGGCGAAGCCTCTCATCCTCCGGCAGGTATCTTAACAAGTACTTATGACTATCAGATGGACTATGTATATTCTTGTTTTCGTCTTCTTTCTTCGGAACTACTTCGCGGGATTCTATCCTGGGCGAGTCCCTCCCGCTTTCGGACTGCCCAGCCGACCGTTTTCCGCGCAATCGGGACATTTTGGAGAAATCACGCCCAGCTTGCCGCACCGGAAACAAAATCTCCTCCACAATCTTGGAATCCGTGCTCCGCAGCCCCGCAATTCCAGCAACCTGGCCTAAATGGATTTCGGACTCGTCCACCTCCAGGTGTCGCTGCTCGTCGACTTCGTCCCGTACGTGCGCCTCGCTGACCCGTACCTTGTTCTGCTGCAGGTAAGCAGCACGCCCTCGACGACCGAAACTCCTCTCCACTTCGACGCACTCTTCCCGAAGTTCGTCTACCGTAAGTACGTTCATCGCGTAAACATATCTAGCGATACCGTCCCTCAAGCCCTTTTTCACCACCTTAACCAACTGCCGCTCTGGCATTGGTTTTTTTAGGCGTGAGGCGAATTGCTGCATCGCATGGATGTAGTCATTCGCGCTCTCTCCTGGCTGTTGCTCACGTTGAAGAAGCTCGTGCATCCTTTCGTATTCCGTCTGGTGGCCACGGAACCGATCCATCAGAGCCCTGCGCAGCTGGGCCCAAGTTTCCACTCTGGACTGGCGTACATGTACCCAGTACCACTCCTTCGCTCTGCCCGATAAGAGAACGTGGAAGTTGCGCAGAACTTCACTCCACGGACATTGACATTGCAGGAACTCCAGACGGAACACGAAGTCGTCCACGGAATGGCCATCGTCCTCGCCGCCGAATGAGCGGCGAACCAGCGGTCCACTCGGATGTAGCGGTTTCCGTTGCCGGCTCCCGCGTTGGCGTATAACCGCGGCTCGTCCCGAAAATCCGCCGTCCTTCGGTCCTCGTTGCGCCATGGCCGTGCGTGGCGATCGCTCCTGCCTTCCGGATGATACTCCGGCTCCTGGCTCAGGCTGCTGTCGATCCCTGGCGAGTCATTTACCGGCAGTGGAGGTCGCTGCCTGGGCGGCAATTCCGGCGGCCTTCGGTCGCATCCTCCTGTATCCTGCCGCTGCTGAATCCCCGCTGGGCCATTTGCGCCGCCTTCTGGACACAACGGGGTGAGCACCATCGACACTTGGCGACTCACACCCTCCTGGAGCGGCTGCGGTTTGCCCTCGGCTGGCGTAAGGACGTCGTTCAACAACTTCATCATGTCGATGAATCCGTTCTTGATGTCTTCCCGCAACGCCTGGCTAACTCCAACTCCTGCGATGCCCGATACGTTTGGGCCGCTTGTGCCAGCGCTGCGTTCATCGCAGTCTCCGCTGCAGTATCCCGTTCCGTGTTCGGCTTTTGTGGACCCGTCTGCTCCGGAACCAGAAGTTGATCCTGCGCCTCGAAGATTGCCTTAAAATCAAGGACCCTGGGCGACCGATGGTGCTCCAGATCCGCCGGTTGATCCCGAATCCGATCCACCGCACTACCGCCTACCGGCGTTCTGGGTAACCCCCCAGCCAGCGATATCCGCGGCAACCCAGCAGCACCCTCTACATCCGTGGACCAGACATCGTCCATGTCGTCGCCAGGAGGACCCATCGACCTGAGCTGGTGGCCGTGCCTATCCCTGACGTCCTTACCCTCGGACATACTTCCCAAGAATTTTTAAATAAATACTTAATAACTACTAATATGATAATAAATATGATAAATAAAAAAATAAATAAGACCACAAATAAATACAATAATAAATAATATAATAAATATCAAAATAAATACGAAAATAACTAATAGCAAAAATAAATAACAATAAACAAATCTTCCTCACTTTCCAACACCTTTCAAAATCTCCTATTTTTATACCCGTTACTCGTAGAGTAAAAGGGTATACTAGATTCGTCGGAAAGTATGTAACAGGCAGAAGGAAGCGTTTCCGACCCCATAAAGTATATATATTCTTGATCAGGATCACTAGCCGAGTCGATCTAGCCATGTCCGTCTGTCCGTCTGTCCGTCTGTCCGTCTGTCCGTCTGTCCGTCTGTCCGTCTGTCCGTATGAACGCTGAGATCTCGGAAACTATGAGAGTTACAATACTGGGATTAGGCACGCAGATTCCTGAGATTCCTGCGCAGCGCAAGTTTGTTTCAGTAGAGTGCCACGCCCACTCTAACGCCCACAAACCGCCCAAAACTGTGGCTCCTACAGTTTTGATGCTAGATAGAAAATTTTAACTGAAATGTAATGTTCTCATCAATACCTATCGATTGACCCAAAAAAAAATTTGCCACGCCCACTTTAACGCCCACAAACCGCAAAACCCTGTGACGCCCACAATTTTCATGCTAGATAAAAAATTTTAACTGAAATGTATTGGTCTCGTCAATACCTATCGATTGATCCAAAAAAAAATTTGCCACGCCCACTTTAACGCCCACAAGCCGCAAAACCCTGTGACGCCCACAATTTTCATGCTAGATAAAAAATTTTAACTGAAATGTATTGGTCTCGTCAACACCTATCGATTGATCCAAAAAAAAATTTGCCACGCCCACTCTAACGCCCATAACGCTTAAATCTGTATACCGCCGGTAGGTGGCGCATTTTAATCTCGCTTTGCTGCTTGCATATCTCCATTTAGCTGAGTAACGGGTATCTGATAGTCGAGGTACTCGACTATAGCGTTCTCCCTTGTTTCAATTATTTTTTTCTTTCTGCTACTCTTGACTTGGGGATATGGAACTGACCCTCGGGGTGGGCTTCTGACCTAACTGTCTTGCGCTTCCTCCAAAAATCCTATTTTCCCGTCTCCGCCTAGCCGTTCGTCAACTGGACTAGCTATCACCCGTGGTGATAGCTGCCAGTTAAGGACATCGGCTGGTTTGGCTCCTTTTGGCTTTTATATCCCGCCCCTTTTTTCTATTTTAAATCGAGGTAACCGTGCAGCGCGTAGGGTTGCTACGGGTCACGATTACGCAATTAAGTTCACAACCGACATAAAATTAGAAATCCAGGACGGGGAGAAAAACCCAGGAACCCAACATCCTAACAAAAAAACATTTCAAATAAATAAATAACAAAATACAAGCTTTAAAACTACTCTATCACAGAAATTATCACAGATTCTCTTCAGTGCATCCCCTGATGCAAATCTTGGTTTGCCCCAAGATGCCATCACCGGTTCACTGGTAAGCCTGTGACCAGGAGCGAATCGTCGGCAATGTCGACGTGCCTCCCGTTCTACTTCCAACTTCCCTACTCAGCTGACTTCCCCGTCACCACTCCCAAGCAATTGCAATCTATGTTACAAGCCATAGGTCGTGATGGCGGTGGCGTCATGGTCATAAATGGGCGAGACGTCGTCGCCTCGACAATTTATTTTGTTTAAATTGGGCGCCAATATGTTACGAACTGCTTTTTTTGGTGGCAGTGCCGCTAGCTCAGTCGTTCCTCAGGGCAGAGTACCCCTAATGCCACAGCTCGCAACATAAATATCGATACTTCACGGTCTCACATTACTAAACTATCGGTCATCACTAATGACAAAAAAAACGCAAACAAAGCAAAATTCTACAAATATTGACGGAAAAATGGATTACATTTGGTGGCTATCGGTGACCTAGCCAAGCGCTCCCACCCAACCATGGATGCCCTCAAGATGCTGCAGGGCACCACCCATTCGTAGTCGGCAGGAGCCCCCTCCTCGCGACTACGGCGGTTCCATCTCCCCCACTGGGAAAGTTTACTCACACATAATGGGTATTACAAAGGTTTAATAAATATCGTAAGTACAATCGTTTATATACATGCTCCTCTTAACAGATTTATCCTTCCTCAGCCTTTAAGACCGAAACCTGGTCGCCGTCTCGGGTATTTACGCGGTCAAAGCAGATGATTCGTTTTGCTGGAAAAGGGTACAGGCGCCGTGGAAACTATGCTCTACCAGCCATGTATTGGTAGAGCTCGCATGGAAACGCGGCCCTCAAAGGAACATGAGCGATGCGCGTGTGTATGGTCACCTAATCCTGAGGAGCTCCAAGGGAAAAGAAGGGACAGGCCAAAAAGGTACGTAACTGCACTGTAAGCTATACCATTTAACTAATGCTCGCGACCTTTTTAATTTTAGGCAAACAACGAGGACAAATAAGGCTCTCGGGTCTAACTCCGGATAAGCTCACAAACAGGTAAGTAGATATCAATATATATAATCGAGGTACACGTGTATTTAATTTCTGCTAAGTTTCAGCCACTGTTGGGCCGGGCCTGGAGGCGATTATAGCCCGGGCTGATGACTTCCCGTCGGAGGCCAGCAGCGATACGGATCTCCACACGGGAAAACGGCGCTCTCCGGTGAGTTGTGCAAGGGCAGTCCGAGATTTGGCTGCCAGACAAAATGGCGATACTTCTCAGCGCCGCAATGCGACCGCTGGAAGTTCCTGAGACGAGGAGGACGCGGTACGCCGGAACGGTCTCATCGGGAAATGTTGACGTCGTCGGCGTCGACTGTGCAAGGCCTTCCTGGATGGTCGTCGGCAAGGGTCGAACGGACACCGGTTGCTGGGTAGCCAAGTCGGGCTGGTTGGTATGGCGAAGTATGGCGATGTCAGTAGAATCCAAATAAATTCTTCCGGGGCCCTTTGTATTGGGACCCTGGCTGCCTTTATAAATGATAAATATTAAATACCGAACTACTTTAGAACTTTAACATAACTCACTATTTAATTTAAAGCACAATGAAAATTTATACTCTCACTCCTAGCTGCATCTGCCTTGATTGTTGGACAGTGTGGCCGCGACTATCACGATATCTGCTGATCATCGCCCCCCGCCATATTACATGGTCTCTCTCACCATTGGGTCATTGGATACATGGGCCATTTGAAGTAATCCCAGAGCGAACCGGGATTAGTCTTCAAATGGCCAGATCGCCCGCCAGACTCATCCCGCTGCTGCAGCTATCGCCCTATCGACCTAACCTATCGATAACGTCGGTCCCACTCGACTCCAATTGCAACAATATTATTTACAAATAAAATCGATATTATGATAATATTTTTTTTTGAAAAATATAATCGATATCTTGATATATTTTCGACATCCCTACTGTAAACTGAAAGATATATCACCTAAATGGCTTAAGCGCAACTCGGGATATAATTAAAAACACGGACATACCAACAAATTTTCTTTAAAAAACATAACTAAAATATCTATAAAATATTTTTGACTTTTTTACCAGGAACTACCGTTATCCTTTACATTATAAATTATTTTAGTGTAGTCAGGGCACTTTTTATACCCATTAACCAATCGCCCAAAAGTCCGCTCCGGCCAAACTGCTGACACAGCGTCTGGCCGGAAGCTTTTGCATAGCCGGCAAGCACAGCCCATTGGAGTGGCCGCTATGAAGTTCAATTATGTTAGCTTTAAGATTCAGTTCATTTCCAACATTCAAAGACTAAAGAACACAAGTTCATTCTGAAATAACTCCGGCAACCGCCGTATAACTTCTTATTACTTAAACACTGACTGAGTCTCTAGGCCAGCAGCGAACGGAGGGCAGTTACCCTTCCAGCGTAATCATCATAACTCTTCAGTAGATGAGAAGCTAATAGGTATAATAAGAATTCAATTAAATATTTGCAAAACCTCTACCTCTAAACCTAGTACTCAAATCGGCTAATAGTTTCTAATAGCTAATAGTCTTACTGTCAAGTAGCTGGGCTTGTTCCCAGTCGGAAAACAAATCAATTGGAGCAATTTAAAAAAGAAGAGTCTGTTGAAGCCCTAAGAAATAAAAATTAAAATAAATTAAACGATAATTATGTAAATTATAACCCTTCAGTTCTGCAGTAGGGACGCGGTGACATGGCTCAAGGCAAAAAGCTT